TCTATCTATCTATCTATCTATCTATCTATCTATCTATCTATCTATCTATCTATCTATCTATCTATATCCCTTTATCTACCTACCTACTTAACTACTCACTCTCTCTCCCTACCTACCTACTGTATTTCTCTCTCTCTTTCCCTCTCTCTCCCTCTATCTACCTACCCTACTTTTTTTTAAATTTGCCATTTCAAAACCTTGGTGCATCTTATACTCTGAAAAATATGGTAAATACTCATTAATAAACCTATGGCAATCAGAGTGAAAACAATGGAGCCCCTATGCCAGTGATGGGTTCCTACCGGTTGGGACCGGTTCGGCCAAACTGGTAGTAGCTTGGTGGCCTGAGTTGCTGGAACTGGCAGAGACCTAGGCCTGCCACATCCCCAAACTGATTCTCCCAGCGGCGCCATAGGCACCGCCATCTTGTTTTTTGCTTCTGCGCATGCACAAAGCAATTTTAGTTGTACTGCGCATGCGTGAGCACGTGGGGCACGTCCCTGAGCGAACCAGCAATAGTCTCTGTCGGAACCCACTCCTGCCCTATGCCTAACCATAACTTTCATGTAGAGGTTCATCATGGTAGTACTTTTAGTAAGATAGGTCCATATTTGAGACCCTTAGCACAGTGGTGTCATCTCCCATCCATGGCTAGATTTTAGGAATTGGGAAGTTGTTCTTTTAACAAGTGATTCCAAGTTCTAACTTTGCAAAAGAGAAGAAAAGTAATTTTTAGTCCACATTTAACACACATTGTTTTATACCCTTCTATCTCATCTCCCCCCTACTTGCCTTCCCTTCAAGTATAATCTTTCATTAGAGGCAAACTATTCTAGATGCTTAGTTATTTTCTTTGGGGAAGGAGTTGTATTTTTTTTTTACTTTTACAACTTCCTGCCAGATTTCCCATTGAGTTTGCTTGTGGAAGACAGCAGAGACCATAGGAAATCACAGCTATGCGACCCTAGGAATGTGTGCTGGTCAGAATTCTGAGGACTAATTTTAAATACCCTCCACTCTGGCTCCATTCAGTGTCGTTGCAATTTTGAACAGTCTCTGGCTGAGTGAACATAACTTGAGCACTGCCTGTATTTCAGATAGTTAGGCATAAATTTTACCTGTAGCTGCTCTTCAGTATCAAAACGTCCCTGGTTTTCTTCTCTTCTGTCGTCAACATACAGCAGGGGTGTCAAAATCAATTTCATTGAGGGCCACATTGGGGTTTTGTTTTACCTTGGGGGCCAGGATGGGCATGACCAGCTGAATGTCACTCCCATGTGCGGTCCTCCCGAGCTCTGTTTTCACTGGCAGAGGGTTGCAGGAAGCCGTGGCAGCCGAAAATGGAATTCGGGAGCCCGTTTTTGCTGTTTTGTTCCTTCAATGTTTCCAGGGTGGCCCCGCAGGCCAAATCTAAGTAAACACCCCCCAACCAGGCCTTGAGTTTGACACCCCTGACATACAGTAACTAAAATTGGTTTATTTTGCTGCAAATCATTGAGAAGCTATAACTGACCTTGTCAGTGTGCCATGCTGTGCTAAACTAAAGCTCAGAGCTAGTGCACGCTAGATGCTTCATCCAGTCTAAATGGAAACACAACTCATTCCTGTATCAATTTAATCACTGTTAATTAATTGCAGGAGTGTTGATCGTTACATTGCTCTCAAGAGGTTCAGAAAAACGCAAATTCCCTGTAACTTGAATCATTACTATAAATTTGTACAGCCTAAATAGCTGCTTCAAACCCATTTTCTGATTCAATGAATCTTCTAAATCTTTAATGGCCTTACGCATTAAATACATTTGGCAGTTCAAAGCAAGTTGAACAGTTTCATTTCATGTTTTTCTCTCTGCGTTTTGCTTTGTTCTTCTCTTCCCCAGACTGGTATTGTATATGTCAATCGCCCATTGGACAGGGAGCGAGTGTCAGAATATAGACTGACGATAACAGTGAAGGACAATCCTGAAAACGCACGCAATGCAAGAAGGGTAATTACTGACTGTATCTTTTCCTAATTTTGAACAAGTTTGCATTAATCAAGAGCATTGGATATAATATCCCCCCCTCCCCCAAAAAAACATAAATCATTGAACTATATATAAAACACAAGACTGCAGCCTAAAGTTTAATTTCCTTTATTAACGGATGTGCGGTTAAGCTATTACTAACCATGTTCTCAAACTTTCTTTTTCATTATAGGTTATCCATTAATCATTTGGTTCCCCACAAGTTTCTTGGAAAAAAAACCCACAACCTTACAATAGTTAGATTTCATCGACAGATGCATCAGATAACAGACAAATATATTCTATTGTGTTACAATAGACATGTAAAATAGGTATTTTCTCAGACAGTAATTCTGAAATCAAATTTCCCAAATACTTAATGAGAGACAGAGAGTAGAGAGAGTAGACAAGATCTGTGCGTGTCGGTGCAGCATTCAAAAAACGTCCTTTTTAAGCTTTAAAACTTACCTTCTGTGTCAGCGCCTGTGAGTAAAACAGTTGATGTGCAGCAATCCGCTGTGCCGTGTGAATCAACTGAGCTAAAATCAGGGAAATATAGGACAGGAAAGCACAGGGGCGGTGGGGGGGGGGGATGTTCACCCGAACAACCAGTTCACCCGAACTGGCTGAATCCCACTCCTGAACCACCCTCTGTGAATAACCTGTGAGATGGGTTTCACTACTTTAAACATTTTAACTTCCACCAAAACCCAAACCTGCAAACATTCCCTGCCCTTGTGTATCTTACCTTAGTTTTGGAACTGGATCAAAAAGAAGCTTCTCATGGAGAAAAACCACCAGCTCAAAATCAAAATATTTTTAAGAGGTGTTTTTTTTAAATCACTTACTTAGTTAAATGGATTTCTGGAGTGGAAGGTTCGGATAGCACTATACGGAAACTTGTAATTTTTTTATCCTAAGTTTTAGGGGCTGGCGCAGGATGTAACTATGCAAAGAGAAAATCAAATCGGAAATACTGATATGAATTCTGAAAATTCTCACGATAATTGTGAGAAGAAGCTCCTTCTAAAGGCGAAGTCAATTTTTTAAAATCGTTGTCTGTGGAGATTCTCAGTCATCCAGCTCATGGCTGTCCCAAAGGTGCTTTCTTTCACAACTGGCCTTTCTTGTTTTGTTTGAAAAGGATTAGGGTTACACTTCTCATCCAAGAAGCTTCTTCAGTTCTGACTGAATTGTGGAGAGTGGAAGGATTTATATTCCATGTAGTCATCTAATTCAGGGATCACTAACCTTTCAGACCTCAGGGACCACTAAATTCATAATTTTAAATCCCGCGGACCACTAATATCTGCCTAATGACCGGATGAGTGAGCATGGCTCGGTGATCATTTGACTGGATAGGCATAGCCAACTCAATGTCACTCACATCAAGGGGTGCCTCACCAGCCTCTACTTGCCCCTTCCCTCCCAGCCTCTCCTCGCCTCCCTGCCCAGGCTCCTTAAGGCCCCAACAGGAAGCAGTTGTTGGAGCTAAGCAGCCATCAAGAGAAAGAATTGGCAAAACAGCTGGTTCAGTTCAAATTGGATCTGACCGAGAAGGAAGCTCAGTAGAAGCACCTCACTGAGGACTGTGAGCTTAGGCTTTCCAAGCAGAGGGAAGACCTGCGGGAGTGCAAGGCCAGAGACTGGCACCTGGAGGCTCAGCAGGCTGAGATGGTCAGCCAGTTTCAGGCCATGTTTCAGTCCCACTGGAACAAGGCCCTCCGGCTCTTTGCCACCAGCAGCACTTCCCTCCAGTCTTCACCCAAAGCCTCACACCAGGAGGCTGAAGCAGACCCCAATTTGGAATTTCTGGGCTCCCCCTGACCCACACAAAAAGACCTTGAAAGGGGAGACTCTCTGCAGCAACATAAGCCTTAATTGCACGTATCCATCCCAGGGGCCATAGTTTGGGGACCCCTGATTTAGTGCAATATAAAAAATGCAAATAATTTTTCTGTGGACCACCAAAAATTTTCTTGCGGACCAGCAGTGGTCCCGGACCCCTAGTTGGTGACCGCTAATCTACTTCTTAGNTATGCATGCAACCAGTAGTGTACATGGGAAGTGGAGACCCTTTGAGAGCTGCATGCCACAAAATGTCATTTTAATGTAGGCCGATTAGTGTAGATTCAAAGTGACACCAAAGTTATTTTAAGTCTAAGTCTTCTCGCCTGTAAAGAGGAGCCCAAACAGTGAGTGAGAGGTTGCTGAAGCTTATAGGAGCATGTTCCAAGACAAGCGCCAGCCATTCTTTGCTTTGCTTCCAAACGATGGTGGCAAAGAAAGGGATATAGAGATAGAAATATATTTTAAACTTTGGAAGAGACTTTCAAAGAGTCCAACCGGTTCCCCGCCTCCTTCCCGACCCCGTTGGCCCGGCTGAACTCCTTTGCCTTACCTAGCCGCCCCGCTACACCCACCCACCCCCTTTCCCCTGGGGTTACGCCAGGTCAAAGGGGCTGCTGGCATCGCCTTGCAAACCAGCCAGGGAAAAGGTGTGAGAACCCGCCTTGCCCGGAGCGCATCCCGGCTGCACAAATCTGCTTTGCGCAAAGGCAAAAGGGAGGCGGCGTGGGAGCCAAGCCAGGGACGCCGCGTGTGCGCGCGTGGGAGCCGAGTGGAGCCGCTCGGCTTGGCGTGCCGGCGTCGTTGTCTCTTTAAGTCCACAGCCGGGGCGGGGACCCGAAAGGCGGAGTTGGGTGGCTCGCCTGGCCCCGGCTATAGAACAAGAGAAGCGGAGCGGGGGTGGGAGAGCGCAAAGCTTAAAGTCCCGGGTGGCGCGAGGTCCCAGTTGCTGCGGCGGACTCAGGTGAGCTGCGGGCAGGTGCGGCCGGCAGGTAGGAGGGAAAGCGGTGGCGATATCTCCCCCCTTCCCCGGATTGGGCTCCGGGACCCGGGAAAGAAGGAGGCTGCCTGACCCCGCCGGAGGTTGTTTACAAAGCCTCGCGGTCCCGGGTGGCGTGGGGAGCCGATCGTGAGGACGGGGAGCGCGTGGGGGGAGGACTTGGGCTCTCCCTAGGCGGGATTCGCTTGTTCGAGGCTTCTGTTCCGCTTCTGGGGGCGCTGAGTTCAAATCCCGGCGGGATCCCTCCCTGGGCTACAAGCTTGCTGGATGGCTTGGTGGCGAGTGTGCAGTCGGCTTCTTGGCCTACCTTAAAAGGGGTGGGTGAGTTGTGAGGATGGAACGCTGGCAGGCTAGATGGAGCCTGAAGGAGATCATCAAAAGTCTTGGGAATTCATGGGATGCCCAAGTATAATTTGATTGCTTATTATGGCTATCACTAAGTGGTGCATCTTATGATTCTTGATGAATGTGTATTTTTTTTCTTTTATGTACATTGGAGAACATATGCACCAAAGACAAATTCTTTGAGTGTCCAATCATACTTGGCCAATAAAGAATTCTATTCTATTCTTTCATAATTCTATTCTACCCTACCCTATCCTATCCTATCCTATTTATCCTATCCTATTCTATTTACCCTATCCTATCCTATTTATCCTATCCTATTCTATTTACCCTATCCTATCCTATTTATCCTATCCTATTCATTTTATATTCTATCCTATCCTATTCATTTTATATTCTATTCTATCCTATCCTGCATTCTATTCTATTTATCCTATCATATTTATCCTATCCTATCCTATTCTATTTATCCTATCCTATCCTGCATTCTATCCTATTTATCCTATTCTATTCTATCCTATCCTATTCGTTTTATATTCTATCCTATCCTATTCATTTTATATTCTATTCTATCCTATCCTGCATTCTATTCTATTTATCCTATCATATTTATCCTATCCTATCCTATTCTATTTATCCTATCCTATCCTGCATTCTATCCTATTTATCCTATTCTATTCTATCCTATCCTATTCGTTTTATATTCTATCCTATCCTATTCATTTTATATTCTATTCTATCCTATCCTGCATTCTATTCTATTTATCCTAT